AAATATAGGATCCCTTTGGCCTTCATCTCCTCCACAGTCTTATTATCTCAGAGATTATGGCTCATTTTTTCAAAGTACACCTACTAAGAGAGTGAGACCCAGAGTGATTGGGCCAATGATTTGCCCAAGATCATGCAGGTTATAGCTAGCAAAACCAAATTTTAAACCCAGGTCCTCTGACTACAAATAGAGCACTCCTTCTACTGTACCATGGTAATAACTGAGATCATATTGATATATTTAAATTGCTCTTTATTATTATTGCACAGGGGTAGCTAGGTGGTGTAGTGGATAGAGTGCTGGGCCTGGAGTCAGGAAGACTTATCTTCCTGAATTCAAGTTGGGTCTTAGATACCAATTGGGTGACCCTGGGCAAGTCATTTAACCCTATTTTCCTTGGTTTCCTCATCTTTAAAATGAACTAGAGAAGGAAATAGCAAACCACTCCAGTATCTTTGCCAAGAAAATCCTAAACAGGGTCACAAAGAGTCAGACGCAACTGAAAAAATGATGGAATGGCAAAATTACAGCACAGATTACAAGAGTCTTAAAGTTGAGCAGGACCCTGGAAGCCCACTGTTAAATTTTCAGTGTGAGTATTTGTACCTTGGAAGTCGGCAAAAGCTACAAATCAATACTTGATTTATTGTTTTGCTGATCAACTAAACTTAAGAAAGTAATGGAGAAATGTTAATAATTCAGATTAAACCTAAAAGTATGTCATGAGTACTTTTTTTTGAGATCCAGTTGTTTAACATTTGCCAGCACACCCCTGCCTAGAGATCACCTCATCTAACTATAATTCAGACAAATTTCAGATGTTGGTCACAACTCAGTTTTATTCTCATTCCTTTCAAAAATGTAACATGTTCTATCTGTTGTTGCCTTCACAAAATAAAATCAATAATGAATGCCGAATTGGGAAAGGCAATGAGATTTACCTGCAATAGAATCTGCAGAGCCCTCAAAGAGAGAAGACGATGTTTGGTGTGTGCAATTTAAACTGCCATAGAGGAAAACAATTGTTTTTCCCCCTGTTAAGGACAAAGTATTGAAACATCACTAACATAGACAAATAGAAATGTCAACGAGTTGAGGTCTTCTGGATAAGCTGCCATCTCCTGACATGAAGCTAACAGGGTCTAAGATTTATATGTCTCAATTTCTAGCTTAACATCACCTTTTCCCTTTATGGTTGCTACAAGTTTAATACTGTAGCTGTTAGAACAGTGAGGCCACACGATGACAGGTACATTGTAGTAGAGGGCCCAGCTTTGATGGCAAAATTTCTCTTTTGGAGTCTTTTTGGGTACAGATCTTTGGTTTTTTAAGTCCAGGAGAGGAAATTCTCCCAATGAAGATTACCAGTTTATAGACTTAGAGAATAATTTGGGGCCATCAGGAGGTTACGTGACTTGCCTAGTATCACACAGCCAGCATATGTCAGAAGCAGGACTCAAACTTATTTCTTCCTGCTTCTTTTCTGTGCACTGTGCCATAATGCTTCTATGTCCAAAATACTCCTTCAAAACCTGACAAGGAAAGCTACAATGAAGCTACAAAAAAAGGAGAAAAATCAAAGCACTATTTCTTAGCAAGATGGAAGAACTAGGGTCAATGAGTCGAAGTCACTGGGAGGCAGATTTCAGGCCAACATTTAAAATATGTGTGTGTGTGTGTGTGTGTGTATTTCTAACAATTAAAACTTCCAAAATGTGATAGATTGCCTCAGAAAGTAGAGAGTTTCTTCTAAATGAAAGTTTCAAACAAAGGCTGGATGATAATAAATATTTACTAAGTAACTGATTTGTGTTAAGCACCATGAAATATAGATATGAAACTAAAACAATTCCTACCCTCAAGTAGCTCACATTCTGTCAGGCAAAAGCATATGAACACTTTTCAGTATAACTCCTATTTCCAAGCATTTCTCGCAGAAACTACAGATGTTGTAAAAATACCATTATTGTAGCTTTGAGACCCAAATAGACTGGTGAGAAAAGTAGTGTGTTAGAAATTTGAAAGACAGTTAAGAAATATCTAATTATGAAGTATTTCTCTTCTGGAGAAGGTATGTGTGTTAGGTTGAGATCTATAAGGATTTCTGAAGGATCTATGGAGAAAACATTTGGGAAGGAGGTGATGTGAAACTTCTTCCACTTTAGAACTGTCTTAGGTCATAAAGAAACCCTATAAAGATAATTTTGTGAAGTATTTGTGAATAGCTGACCAGTAATGGTGTATATTGAAAAGACGATTTCCTATGATTACTAAAGAGAACAGAAAGATGAGGGACTAATCTAGCTTATTTTCAGAGACACCAAATTTAACCATTATCAGGAGAAGAATTATAAAGATTCTCGGGGGACTGTGATCAGTGTCTGGAATGAACTAAATGGTGAGAGGCTGTTTCCAGATAAGTGAAGAAAAGTCATCTGCTGTTATATTGAGGATTAGAAGTGATTCTGGGTGTGACATAGGTCATAGACAAAGTATCATAAATAGTTACTTGTGTCTTTGCATTATTACTGTTTTCATTTGATAATAAATTATATATATATATATGTATGTATATATATATATGTATTTGGTGATTTAAATATATAATTATAAAGACGTGAGAGGAATTACTAATGTGAGCTAATTAATGACACTGGAAAATGTTAGCTAATTAATTATAACAATAAAGTTTATTATGAGAAATATATTATCTAAACATACTCTTGGATAACTAGAGCTAGGAAGGAAAAGAGTGAAATAAAGGAATGAATCAAGTTTCTGGCTAGCTTGGGTGACTTTTGGGTGAGTGTGGTCAGATCCCCGGGACCCCATTTAACCTTGTTACATGTATGGGGAATGCTGGGGAGAGGGGAAGTGTCCTTACCTCATGCTACATAAATGTAAACAAAATACATATAAAGTAAATACAGGGTAATTTCAGGGGGTGAAAGCCCTTACATCTGGCCTCATGTAGGAGGTAGCACTTAGGCTGAGCTTTGAAAGAAGCTGTGGATTCTAAGAGACAGAGGTGAGGAGGAAGAGCATTCCAGACACAGGGTTCAATCTCTGTTAAGGCATGGTGTCAGCAGAAAGAACAGGAAGTTCAGTTTGGCTGGGCTCTAGAAGGCACAGAAGAGTGACATTCAATAAGCCTGGAAAGTTAGACTTGGGTTAAGGTGTGACAGGCTTTAAATGCCAAAGAGTTTGTATTTAATCCTAGACGCAGGTTAGGAACCCCCGGGGCCTACTGAGCAGGGAAGTGGCATGGTCAGACCTCATCATTAGGAATATCATTTTGGCAGTTGTGTAGAGAATGGATTGGAAACCAGACCCGAGATAGGGAGACCAATTAGGAGGTTACTGCAGTAGTCAAGGCAGCAGTGATGAGGACCCAAACCTTGTCAGTGATGGTGAAGAGGAGGTTTCTGATCACATAGGGGTTGGACTAGATGACCTTTGAAGTGCTTTTTTTATTATCTGGTTCTATGGGAACCCTCTTTTCACTCTCTAAGTGTAAAGGGAGGATTATTAACATATTTGATTCCATTTGATTCAGCAAGCAATTATTAAGCCCCTACTGTGTACAGGGAATGAGGATACGAAACAGCCCCTGTGCCTCTTTGTTAGAGATATATACTTTGTTTGAGATGCATAACATTGATAGAAGTAAGTAAAGGACCAGGTAGTTTGAGAAGGGAGGAAGCAGGACCAAGCAGGGCTTGCCAGAGGAGGTGGGAGCAGAACTGAGCCTTGAAGGAAGACAGGCAGATTTGAGAGACAGACCGAGGAGGGGGAGTATTCTAGGCATTAGAATAATCATGATGTGATATCAAATTATTTAAAAGCTCATCACTATTATGAGGCAGCATGCTTTAGTGGAAAGAGTGCTGAATTTAAGTTGGAGGCTCTAGGTTCAAGATTCTGTTACTTTCTAGTATGTGACCTTGGGCAAGTCACCTAACTTCTCTACGCCTCCAGTTCCTCATCTGTAAAATGAAGAGGGGATTGAGAATGGAGTAGATAATCTCTCAGGACCTTTCTAGCTCTAAATCTGTTGTCCTGTGATTTCCTTCTTTAAAAGAGAATGGATGTTCATAAGAGACAGCCTTTTACCACTAGTCATAAGTCTATGCTAGACATTTAATCTCATTCCCCCAATATTACAAAAGCATATCCCTAGAATTGTGTTGGTTGTTTAACAGCCAGCTTTCGGGGGGCGGGGATATAAAGGCATGGCATACTTTTAAGTTTAATCTGCATTATTAACATTTTCTCCATCACTTTCTTAAGTCTAGGCAATCAACAAAATAACAAATCAGATCCTGTTTTGTAAGCATTTGCCAATTTCCAAGGTGTAAAAGCTCACACTGAAAATTTAACAACTGGCTCTCCTAAGCGAGTTGGCTCCAGCATACCCTTGCACATTCCCATAGATAAAGTAGAAAGTGACTATCATTACTACGAGAAATTAGGCCACAAAATTATTCTTTTGGGTTTTGATTGGCTGCCACCTTCTTGCTTTTTGAGACTTGGTAACACCTGGGCCTTAATTGTGTTTGAAAATTAGGAAGATGGTTTCCCAGCTCATACATTCCCCCATTCCATGCCAATACAAATTTGCAGCCAAATCTTGGCCAAAGTTATCACATTTTCATAGAAAAGGGCTTGTTCCCTTTTTTGCCCTTTGGCCTTCCAGTCATTCACCTAATCAATGGAACAACTTCATCAGTCAGTCAATCGGCAAGGATTTGTTCAGTGCCTACTGTGTGTGAGGCATCGTGCTAGGCCCTTGAGACAGAAATGGTTCAGGAGACTTTAACCTCTCACTTCCAGGTTCTTGGAACACTGGATAACTGGATTTTAATGGATGTATAGAAGGATTGGGTTGGAAGTAATTGTTAAGAAAACTAGGCAACAGCTATTTTAAAACATAAATTCATCTACATGACAGGCGCTGAAAGGCCCTAAGCCCTGACCCTGGCTCTTTTCTTTCTCCTTAGGACACGTGCACATTACAGATTTCAACATTGCTGCCATACTGACCAAGGAAACGAAAATCACCACAGTTGCTGGCACCAAACCTTATATGGGTAGGAATTTCTTTGATTATTTAAATGGGTATTTCTTGGTTATCCCTACTTACAGCTTTTCGTGTTATTAAAATCCCTCTTAATGCCATCCAGCTGTAGGAATAGGAATCCTTTCACAAGCTAACCTGTGAAAGTTGTTACCTTCTTTTTTTAAAAAAAGTTTTTGTTAGCTATTTCCCAATTACATGTTAAATTTAAAAATTTAAAAATTCTGAGTTCCAAATTCTCTCCTTCCTTCCTGTTCCTTCCCCACTCCTTGAGAAGGTAAGCAATATATCAATTATACATGTGAAGTCATGAAAGACGTATTAGCCATGTTGCAAAAGAAAACAAACAAACAAGCTAGAAAGATAAAGGGTTTTTTTTGGTTTTTTTTTTTTTTTGTTTTTGGTTAGGCAATGGGGTTAAGTGACTTGCCCAGGGTCACACAGCTAGTAAGTATTATGTGTCTGAGGCCAGATTTGAACTCAGGTCCTCCTGAATCCAGGGCCAGTGCTCTATCCACTATGCCACCTAGCTGCCACTCAGAAAGATAAGGTTTAAAAAGTATGTTTCAATCTGCGTTTAGAGTTTGTTAGTTCTCTCTCTGGAGATGGATGGCATCTTTGGGTACTTTAGAATTATTTTGGATCATTGTCTTGATCAGAGGAGCTAAGTCTTTTACAGTTGATCATTTTTACAATATTGTTATTACTCTGCATAACGTAATCCTGGTTCTGCTTTACATCAGTTCATATAAGTCTTCCAATGTTTTTCTCAAATCATCCTGCTCATCATTTCTTATAGCACAGTAGTATTCCATCATAATCATAACACAACTTGTTCAGCCATTCCCCAATTAATGGATATCCCCTCAATTTCCAATTCTTTGTCACCACAAAAAAAAACTGGAATAAATATTTTTTGTACAAATAAGTCTTTTTCTCTTTTCTTTGATCTTTTTGGATACAGACCCAGGAGTAATATTACTGAGTCAAAGGGTATGTACACTTTTATAGCCATTTGGGCATAGTTCCAAATTGTTCTCCAGAATGGTTGGTCTAGTTCAAAACTCTACCGACAGTGCATTTAGTGTCCCAATTTTTCTACATCCTCTCTGACATTTGTGATCTTCCCTTTCTGTCATGTCAGCCATTGTGATAGGTGTGAGGTGGTATCTCAAAGTTGTTTTAATTTGTATTTCCTTAATCAATAGTGATTTAAAGCACTTTTTAATTTGACTATTGATAGCTTTGATTTCTTCTCCTGAAAACTGCCTGTTCACATCCTTTGACCAATTTATCAATTAGATTGTATTTTTATGAATTTAGTTCAGTTCTTCTATCTATTTAAGAAATGAAGCCTTTATCAGAGAAACTTGCTGTAAATTTTCTTCCCCATTTTCCTGTTTTCTTTCTAATTTTGGCTGCATTTTTTTGTGCAAATTTTTTTTTAAATTTTGTGTGATCAAAATTATCCATTTTACTTTTCATGATCCTCTCTATTGTTTGCTCCCTAATCCATAAAACTGACAGGTAAAATTTTCCATGCCCTCCTAATTTACTTATGACACACCCTTTATGTCTAAATCATTTGTCCATTTTGACCTTATCCTGGTATATGGTGTGAGATGTTGGTCTGTGCCTAGTTTCTGCCAAATTGCTTTCTAGTTTTCCCAGAAGTTTTTGTCAAATGGTGAGTTCTTACCCCCAAAGTCTGAATCTTTGGGTTTATCAAACACTAGATTACTATGGTCATTTACCACAGTGTATTGTGTACCTAATCTGTTCTATTGATCCACCACTCTATTTCTTAGTTAGTACCAGATTATTTTCATAATAACTATTTTGGAATATAGTTTGAAATCTGGTACTGCTAGGCCTTCTTCTTTCACATATTGTTACCTTCTTGAAGCGCAAGGTAACATCTCTATAATTGGTTCAGGCATACTGTCAATTAATAAGCATTTATTAGGGACTTATTGTATGCCCAGAGCTGTGTTAGAAACTGAGCATACAAAGACAAAAAATAAATAGTCTGTGTCCTCAAGGAGCTTAGATTCCATTGGAGGAAACACCATTTAAGTACATGCAAATAGATACAAAGTAATTTGTGGGGAGAAATCACCAGCAGTTGGATGGATCAGGACAAGCTTCTTGTAGAGGGTGATGCTTGAGCTGAGCTTCGAAGGAAATTAGAGATTCCAAGAGGTGAAAGTAAGGAGGGCATGCAGGGCAGGCATGGGGCACAGCCAATGCAAAGGGACAGCAGTGGGAGATGGACTGACAGGTGTCAAGAATAGCAGGAAACCCAGTTTGCCTGGTTTATAGAGTAGGAGAAGGCGTATAAATGTACAAGACTGGAAAGGTAGCAAGATTAGAGCCAGGTTATAAAGGGCTTTAAATAACAGATGGGCAAATTCACTCTTTAAAAAACTTTCTTCTTCCTCCTCTCCCTTTTTAAAATAGTCACAATATTGTTTCTTGGATTACTGGATTATAGTCAATAGAAAAACTTCTTTAAATGTCCTTGATTTTATGTAGTATAGTGGAAACAGTGCAGCTGGAGTCAGGAGAGACTTGGAATTGAATTCCGCCTCTCTAGAGCCAGAATTAATAGCTCTGGAAAGCTGAACAAATGACTTAACTTCTCTGAGACTCAGTTTCCCCATTCATAAAATGGGGATAATAATACTTGTAGTAGCTAACTCAGAGTTTTGGGGAGAAGCAAGTAAGATAGTGTATGTAAAACTTTTTTAAGCCTTAAAGTGCTATATAAACATTGGCTGTTATAATTATGATCTTTATCCCTTGATTTTAAAAAAAATAGCTAAAAATCCTGGGAGGCTAATAAACAGAAAAGACTGGGGGGGGGGGGAATAAATGTGAACCTGGGTTCAGATGAGCTAATGTCTGTAAAGCATACTTTATAAATGACAAAGTTTTGCATAAATGCCAGTCATCCTTATTATGACCATTATTTTTATTATCTTGGCAAGTACATTGAGCCAGATATTTGCAATGCAGAAAGTCCTGGCAGTAACTGAGGAAGAGAACAAGTAGTTGGGACCTGTGGGTAGCTGGGTCAGTGGTAAAAGCTGAGTGGTGGTTTGGGACTGACCTTTCTAATGAAATGGCCTGGCCTGCCAGTGGTCCCTGAGTCCTGATTCAATAGGTTGTCATTTTGGTTCACAGAGATCCTCTGAAGAATTTTAAGCATAACTTTCCAGTGGACGCTCCCAAGGCACCAGAAGAAGCCAAGGCAGCCACTTGTGTAGAAATCACATGGGTGCCTTATGATGAAGTCAGTCCCCAGCTTATGCAAATCATGAGTATCTTTGTAGGCACCAGCCAGGGGTGATTTGCATGTGTGCTGCTGCTTCCCCTGAAGGACTGTCACCTCTATTCCATAGCTTCATCGTTCTCTTTTTCTCCTCTGAGAATCTGCTTGTCAGTCACATAAGCAGTGATTAGGCCTTGGCAGAGAAACTCATAGCAATCAAATTCATGGAAGATTATTTGTTCAATTGAATGTCAGGTTACTAAATGACAGCAGGACCTGTGCCTGTCTAACCCTGGAGCACCAGCAGTCAGCAGGGTACTAGACTGTCTTACCAAGGCAAGGAATTAATTTGGGGTATGTCTGGTAAGACAGAAACAATTTTTTTTTTTTACTTAGACTGGGATTTTATTGGCACAGGTCAGTCACAATGAGGAAATTTCCTCTGCTCTTTCAGAATAGCAACTGCTCTGCAGTTATACTCTTGGAAGTTAAGTGATTTATCTGGGCCACGCAGCTAGTATTTTTAAAGGACAGACTTGAATCCAGGATTTCCTGATTCCAAGTTCAGATCTATATATCCGCCATGACATGCTGCCTCTGATAATGAGGATGATGATGAAGAAAATTGCCATTGTCATCATCATTACCTAAACATAACATGGACTCATAAAAACTCAAAAACCATATTTCTAATAGATGTCACCATATTGAATATTCATAATCTCCAAGTTTCATGGAGTCAAAAGCTTTCAAAATAGAGACGCAGTAGAATAAATTAAAGCCACGTGGAAACAGAATGAGGTACATATCATCCTGATGGCCTTTCTGCTACTGGAGATATACTGAAGATGCTTACTATGAGATTGCAGAGGATGAATTTATATCCTACTACTTTTCTTCAACTACAAAAAGCAATTATCTTATGTATCTGTGCAATAGTCTATAGAATGTTAAATATATGAAAGAATAATAACAGCTACCATGTTGCAGGAGAGACTTAAACTCTGATTTTCCTAATTTAGAGACCAACTCTCTGAATGCTCCATCACGCTGGCATAGCAACCCAGGCAAAAACAAGAAGTCAAAAGAGTAGACTCATATTCAAGAAATATGGATGTGGCACTGGGATTATGTTTTCACTGAAGTATTATCTAAGATTCCTTCTCTAGCTTTGGCCCTGTAGAAAAAAGATAAGAAAGACCACTTTTTTGTTTCAAAAGTAAGTTAGATAGATGTTGCATTTAAACTAAGCAACAATGAAAAAAAAAAGACTTTCTCTTTAACCTTCTCACCATGGAAACCAGACCCAGACCTTAGAATGATGAAAACCTTAGAGACACATGTCACTCCTGAAAACGACAGTTTGAAATGTCGCAAACGTGAGCAAATGGGCTTCTCAGACCTCTTTATTGCTGTTTTTTTAACTATTATTTGAGCACTAGTCTAAGACAGAAATGGGCTATTTACATATATTCATTTGTTTCAACCATGACAGAAAAGGATTTATTTCATCACCTGGTATTTGAAAGCTGTGATTTGGTGGGTTCTGAAGTTCCATAAAATGAGGCTCATTTTTCTTCTATAAAATTATCTTTCTAGCTGCTCTGGGGAATGGGACCATATGTTAGTGCTCTCTCTCTCTCACTCTCTCTCTCTCTCTCTCTCTCTCTCTCTCTCTGTCTGCCTCTCTCTCTCCCTCCCTCTCTCTCTCTTCCTTTTTTTCTCTCTTTTTCTCTCTC